CTCTTGCCTCAGCCTCCCGAGTAACTGGGACTACAGGCGCCCGCCACAATGCCCAGCTATTTTTCCGATTGCAGTTGGCTGGGGCCGGGTTTGAACCCACCACCCTTGGTATATGGGGCCAGCGCCCTACCCTCTGAGCCACAGGCACCGCCCAGACTTTTTTTTTTTTGGCATCGGCAACCTCATACTCCTGGACTCAACTGATCCCCCTTGTCTCAGCCTCCTAAGTAGCTGGGACAACAGGCACCTGCCACACTTCCCTGCTAGTTTTTCTATTTTTAGGAGCAACGGGGGTCTCACTCTTGCTCAAGCTGGTCTTGAACTCCTAAGCTCAGACAATCCTCCTGCCTCAGCCTCTCAGAGTGCTAGGGCCAGCTGGGATATGCATTTTGGGAGGGTACACACCCAATTTAATCCATTTAGAGTGATTGATTCTATGGGCTCCAACTCTGTAAATTACAGATAAGCAGCAACAGTGTAAAATAATTCTACAGACATGCTGGTGAGATCTGTCTGGTGGAGGGACAACATTTTCTCTCAAATATTTTCCCTACATTTGCATTCATTTCAATATTCCTGATCTGTTGTGTCTGTTCTTTGATTCTGTTCTGAATTTCTAACACTTGACCAGTTCCCTCATTAGTAAGTTAAGTCAAATCTAACACACGTTAAATCTATAGGAGAGTCATGATTTTCCCTTTTTCCCCTACAATTGTAGCAATACTGTCCTCCAGGAAGCCTTCTCTGAGCCCCTTGAGCTGCGTCAGAGTCCCCTCTATGCTCCTCCATCCCTGCCCCCACTACTCTAGTGGTCACAGGTCAGGGCCACCACTGATACCCCAGCACACCCAACAAGTGCCAGGCTCAGTGTGGAAGATCAGAGGATGTTTTGTTGACTGGGGTTAGGGCTGAGAACTTTCCAGGGGCCTCAAGAGAGAAGGGACATTCCCCCCTTCTATCACTGAAAACAAAGGGTTATCTGTCACCCAGATGTGAGGGAAGTGGGAGGAATTAATGATCCTGGGCTGAGAATACATCGCTCTCTTTTCCTCTCTCTGTCTCTTTCTCATTCTCTCTCATACACATACACACTCAGACTAATGGTAACACACAAGTGGTCACTCTCACCAGGCTACATAATTGCACATCCAGACTAACCCAACCCAGCCAGGGACACAAGACCACATGCACACACACCTTTATTCAGCTACACAATAACACAAGCACGCTCCGGGCTCTGGATACACGACAGCCCAGTCCATTCCCAACTGGTGTCACAATACACATCCAAATGCACAACATACAATGGCAGCCACCCCCACCCTGCCACATTGGTGGGACACACAGCTGTACCCCAGACATTGTAACACACACATCCGGCCAGGGGACACAAAGTCTCCCCCCACCCTCAAGATCCAGCTCACTGGGAGGCACAGTTACACACCAAGCACTCACTGCTGAGTTGATACACAACAGCACAGTTGATACACTGCTGACGTTGATACACAACAGCACAGCTGCACACACAGATGTGATCACTAACAGCCACTGACACACACACACAGAGCAACACACAACTCCACTTGCCCTGCAGAGACACAGCCACACAGTAACCAGGAGCACACACTGTCATCCAACCAACATGTGCAGATTACACAACCCCATGGGAGACCAGAGCCCAGTCCCACCGTCAATGGAGTCTCCTACCCACAGTGGCACAAAAGCCCACACCCAGGCCTGGCGGACACCCAGTAAACTGACATGGCTCCTGCCTCCTGGGGCTCAGAGTTCTAGTCAGGGTGGTGGACATGGGAAAATATAAATAAATATGCATTCTGTGAGTCATCCTGAGGGCTGGGAAGGAAAAGAAAGCCAGGAGGGTGGGAAGGGAGTGGGGAGGACAGGGAGGCAGAAGAAGGAGTTTCCTAAACAGGTCAGAGAAGGCAGCCTTTGAAAGGGATAGCCAGCACACAAATAGCACTGATTTTGGCTTCAAGAGATAGGAACTGTGATTATCCCATTTTACAGATGAGTAAACTGAGGCACTTGCCTGCAATGAAACCATGCATGGGTTTGAACCAAGATGTCTGGTTCCAACAACTGCACCCTGAGCCGCCTCCTACAGGTAAGGTGGAAAAAAGTGGATGGGGCAAACACGGGTGTTATGTCAAAGGCCCCAAAAGCTCTGAACAGTGAGGGAGGCCTGACTTCAAAGAGGCCAGGGGGTTCAGCCTCTGTGTCATCCATGCCCCAGGGAAGATGCTGCTCTGGGCTTTGTCCAACCCAGTTACCCGGGAGAGTGGCAGAGGGACCCCTTTACCCAAGTCAATGCCTTCAACACCCAAGGCTGGTGTTGAACACCCCTCTTTTTTTTTTTTTTTTTTTTTTTGAGACAGGTTCTTGTTCTGTCACCCAGGCTAGAGTGCAGTGACATCATCGTAGCTCACCACAATCTCAAACTCCTGGCTCAGGCTATCCTTCTGCCTCAGCCCCCAAGTAGCTGGGACTACAGGTACTCACACAACACTAGACTAGGTTTTTTCTATTTTTTAGTAGAGATAGGATCTCAATCTTGCTCAGGCTGGTCTTGAACTCCTAAGCTCAAACAATCCACCCACCTTTGCCTCCCAGAGTGCTGGGATTACAGGTGTGAGCCACCATGCCCATGCCCAAGTTTTAAAAGTTCTTCACATGTTCTAGATATAGGTACTTCATCTGACAGGCGAGGTTTCTTTGGGTTTCATTTTTTTCAGGCATGTGTTTTGTAAATATTCTTCCAATCTGTGGTTTGCCTTTTCATTTTTGCAACAGAGTCTTTTCAAGAGCTAAATATTTTTATTCTGATGAAGTCCAATTTATTTTTTCTGTATTTAATTGTACATGATGCTTTTTTTGTGTGTCACAGTTAAGATGTCCATGTCAAACTTTTGGTCACTAAGTCTTTCTTTTATGTTTTCTAAGAAGTTTTACAGTTTCAGTGCTTCTTTTAGATCTTACCTCCTTCCTAGCTTCCTATCTTATCTGATCATTGCTGCCACCTGGCCTCTTTGAGACAAAGATTCATGGGTACAGTATTTCATTCTCATAATTCCAGCACTTTGGGAAGCCAAGGCCGGAGGATTACTTGAGGCCAGGGAGTTTGAGACCAGCC